AAAATCAACAAAAAATCCAGGATGTATCAAGAAGCAAGAAAATGAATGAAGAGAACTACAGTGACATCTCAATTCATGAGCGATGAAGCGAGACTATTAATGCAAACTTTTACTTGAAAACTTTCAGTTAGTCAGAATATTTTAATTTTATTACAAGGATATAGACAATATAGATATCAATGATCTATCTTGGAAAGCTGAAGCCTTGCTTCCCGTACCAAAAGAAAAAGTTATTTGTTGATTCATTTTGATGCAAACACAATACTATATGTCTGAGAAAGATTTGCCATCTTGATTTAGTTTTAAATTATCAAACTTTTTTGGAATTCATTCATGGAGCACATTAAATTGGCTATTTTGCTTTGGGAGATATAATTTTATATGTTATAGTGCTCCACCGAAATGTCATACTGCATTTCTCAGTGGTCTTCATTGGCCAATAATTCAATTATAAACACGATTCATTACTCTCATGTAGACTACAAAGCCTTTTGCATCGCTGGGGCTATCTCCCCTGTGCAAACAGAGCAGTTTATAAAAGGCCAAACCACAGGGTGGGGTATGAGGAATGTGAAGCATCTTAGAAAATTTAGCTATATTAAATGGAAATCTGCCTTCCAGCAAGCTGTTTATCTCTAGCTCTGGACAGATAAAGGCCCGTGCATGGCACCTGGGAGGGGCTCTGGCATTCTCTTTCTCAACTTCTTTGTGTCTTCATAATTTCTTGTCTTTAGTTCATTCTTTCCTTGTTTTTTCTCTTTCTCCCATGAGGCTCTTCTATTTCTAAGATCGCCTTTTTTGAGTCCTTTCCTGGATGTTAGGCCTGCCCTTTTCCAGACCTAGAAACCTTTCGTCTTTATTTAGTCTTTTGTAATCTACAATGTTTATATAGAGGGTTGGGAGAAATCAAGCAGGAAGATACTAACAGAATTATCTACTAACAGACAGGATCAGAAATAAGTAGATGAAAACCACTTATTTGTATGAGCACAAGCAATTTTTGTCACTATAAATGAGATTTTTCCTGATATTTTAATTAAGTGTCTCCTCTAGCATTTTAAATCACTGAACATTTATTCATCATTATGTTACTTTCCTGATATACATGGAAAATGAAATTGCTCAGGTAAATCCTCCTAATTGTTATGTGATGTTGTATTTGGGGCTCTAAAAAAAAGGTATCACCTGCCACAATTCTAAAGCTATCTGGTTCAGAAATATTGACAAAGTGTTAATTTCTTGTTACTCCCTGATGCCTCAATATTTCTAAATAATTATAAATATATTCAGTTTGTTTGGGGAGGTTTTTGGTTTTTTTTTTTTTGGTTTTTGTTTTTTGAGACAAGGTCTCACTATGTAGTTCATGCTGGCCTTGAATTCACTATGTAGCTCAGGCTGGCCTCTAACTCACAGAAATCTTCCTGCCTCAGCCCCCAAGTGCTGAGATAACAGGCATGTGCCATCACACCTGGCTTCAGTTAATTTCCTTAAATTTTCACACATACCCAGTAGTATCTTACAGTACATGAGAGCAATATTAAAGTTTCCCCAAAGCCTTTCTGATTTGACTTAGATAATTATATCATGGCCTCCTGAAAGTTTTATGGGCTGTTACATAAATAACAGAATTTGTAAGAAGAAAAATTAATTTTTCAAATATTTACTACAGTGTTATTTATGAACCACTGAAGTCAACAACTTAAAAAAACTAATGAATCTTTTAAGGTCAACAGCTTTTGTTTATTAGAGTCACATTTTTAAATTTTTTATTACTGTATGTTTGCAGTACATGATTATGTTCATCATGAGAAGGTGATACATGCATATATCAACTCAAGTATGACTCATAATGACTCATAATAATTTTTCTAATAAAACATATTAGTGATGGTCCACTAAATATAATAAACATTCTTTATTAATAGGAACTTTTTTATTAGTGCATGTTTTTAATACGCACAGTTTACAAACATCTTGGGGAGTGGGTACATGTGCATAATACTTCTTTTTTAACGCCCTTCCCTCCAAACTCCCTCCCTCCTCCTCCAAACCCCCTTTCCTCATTTTCCTTCTTGTTGATATTATTAATCTTAGCACATGTTTATGATGTATAATGCTCATATTCATTGAGGTTATTGGGTTCCTGTACATGGCATATCTTTATCCAACTTATTTCCCTTTCCTCTCCCATTCTGCCTTCATTCTTGGTCTCCTGCACCCCTTCCCATTTGCAAAAGATCTGTCTCCTTGTTTTCTATCCATACTTTCTTTTTTCCTATCCTAATTTATTGTGTTGCTTATTTTCATTTACCTCACTCAAATGAGAGATACTATATGGTATATAAGCCTGTGTACCTGATTTATTTCACTCATGATTATATTTCCAGGTGGATCCATTTTCCTACAAAGGTCTCAAATTTGTCTTCCTTTTGTAGCCAAGTAGTACTCCATTATACATAGATATTACATTTTCTTTATCCAATAGTCTGTTGATTGGTATGCAGGGTCCTTCCTGGACTTAGCTATTATGAATTGTGCTGCTACAAATACTGATATCATGTATTGCTGTAGTATTATGTCTTTACCTCTTTGGGAAGATACCTAGAAGGATAGCAGGGTGATATGGAATTCCTAATTTTAGTTTGTTGAGAAATCTCCATACTGATTCCCACAATGGTTGTACAAGTTTACATTCCCACTAACAATGTAAGAGGGTTCCTGTCTCACCAGAATTGTTATTTTTTGATGTTATCACTAGGATTTGTTATTTTTTCATTTCTTGATGATTGCACCCCCCCTTTTTTTTGGTGTAAGATGGAATCTTAGTGTTGTTTTAATTTGCATTTGTCTAATAGCCAGCGATATTGAACATTTTTTTCGTATATTTGTTGGCCATTTGTACTTCTACGTCTGAGAAGTATCTGTCCATTTCACTTCCCTCTTTCTTGACTGGGTCTTTTATTTTAGGTAGTTTAATTTTTTATAGTTCTTTATATACTCTAGATATTTGTTCTCCGTCTGAGGAGCAGCTGATGAATTTTGTTTTTCATCTGTACTTTCACTCCACTCTTTGCTGTGCAGAAGGTTTTTAATTTGATGTGATCCCATCTGTGAATCCTTGCTGTTATTTCCTGGGCAATTGTTGTTCTGTTTAAGAAATACTTTCCTACATCTATGACTTCAAGGGTTTTACCTATTTGGTCTTCCAGCAGATTCAATGCTTCTGCTTTAATGTTTAGATCTTTGATCCATTTTGATTTTAGTTTAGTATATGGTGAGATATATAGGTCCAACTTCAGTCTTCTGTAAACCGATAACCACATTTCCCAGCATCACTTACTGAATAGGTTATCTTTGCTCCTACCTATGTTTTTGGCTTCTTTGTCAAAGATCAAATAGCTGAATGTGTCTGGGGATGCTTCTGTGTCTTCTATTCTGTTCCATTGATCCACATTGTTTTTGTTTCTGTATCATGCTGTTTTTTAGAATTAAAACTATTTGGCAGTGTTCTTTTAAGCAATCATCATTTCCTTTGTATGATAAGCAGTCATTTGTTCATTTAATTTAACCTCTGTTCATCCAGTATTGTCTAAGGATTGCTATCCCTCTCTCACTTAATGATTCACAATAATATCCTCTAGAAAAAAAATATCCAGGATTAGGTGACAGCATGTCTCATAACATTATACACTTAGCAATGTATCCAGAATGACAGCAGGATGAGGCATGGGAAAAATGCTATGCAGGGACAGTTAAAATCTGGTTTTAGTCACTACTAAGCCTAGTAAACTTGGCCTCAGTTTCTTCATCTTAAAAATAAGAACAGCTTGGTATTTTCTCCACCCTCTCAAATCTATAAAGAACTAAGTACTTTGAAAAGCTAGTTCTTACATATTCATAGTCAACCTTAAACACAAACAGTTAGCAAATTAAATTAAATAGATGTTGGTACAATAAAACTTTAAAAATTGGTTAAGGGAACAATTAATTGACTTCCAGAATTAGGCAGTCCTAATCATCCACTTTTATTGTTGCAGCACTTATTTAAACTGTTTAGTTGGTAATTATTAGAGTATTTGGTAAATAAATTTGACAAAGTCATGTAATAATTATTTTATACATTAAAATGTAATTTCTGTTCATTTATGAAATCAAGCTACAGTTTTTAAGAGCTAAAATAGTTTTCCCACTATAAGTGGGAAAATGGTTTTCCTTTGGTAAGAAATGCTCCGCATTTTTGAAAGTATCTACAGTTGATTCTGGGGGATGTAGAATTTATATATACAAAGGCCTTTGGTATAGGGTGGGCTGATAAAAGTTTATTAATTTTTTTTACAAAAATACACTAACAATTTTCCATTTGTCATGGCATGACAGATGAAAATTATTATTATATTAGAATGGAAAAAAGATATCCCACCCCACATATTAGAAATGAATACCTTCTGATGTTTCCTCAGAAATACTTTTTTAAAGTTCTTCAACAAATAAAGATCATATACCACAAGCCCTCAGTTAACATTATCCTCAATGATGAAAATGTGAAAATTTATCCTCTACAATTCAGAGTATATCAACACTCATCACTTAATTGTAAACATTCATTTTTGTTAGATTTTACAAATAAGGCATAAAGAAATAGAATCAGTATATTTCCTCCAATGATGACAAACTGTACTTCACTGTTGTTGTTATTCAACTGCATGGAAAATAAAAGATGCTTTAAATGAGGAATGAAGTTCATTATCAGTTATAAATTTCATTTAGTAAAGACAAACTGTATGATACTAGCAGGTACATCTAGCAAAACAAAAAAGGAACAAATTATTGATAAAATGAAGCAATATGAAATAGATAAATTGAACTTATTTGTGGAAATGAGATTATATTTTTTTCATGGTCAACTGAAGGGTGATTAACATTTAAATACAAAGATTATTTAACATTTAAGTACAAAAGTTTCTCCACAAGTTACTTTGGATTTATAGAATCATTCCTACCAGCATTTCTTCTGAAGCTGCATTTTATGCAAGATGAGATGCTCAAGCACACTACTCAGCTGAGGACTATTACTCTGAACACAAAACCAACAAGCAACACAATGCCAGAGCAGGGGGTTAACTTCATAGCTTCCATGATTACATTGCAAGTGTGCCTGGAATTAAAATAAAAAATATATCTGGGAAAGAGTTATTTGACCCAAAAGAAACATGAAAACAAATTTTAAATCCATATTGTCTTATACTTCATGTTTCACTAAAGGAAATAATTACACAAGTATATTTTTAAAGTATATGTCATTAACCTGAACCTAATGTATGTATATTCACACGGTATGTTCAATAATATGAGTTTTATAATACGACAAAAATCCTGCATCCTCTAAGAGACAACTTTTATACCCAGTTGTGTTTCAAAGACTATGCAACTTAGTTTTCCCTGACACCAGAGGAAGGATAAACAGGGAGAAATATGAACAAAGATCTACCAACACACTAGATTTTAAAACATGAATTTCTACTTTTAAAGAACACAATATAGGCCTTGTAGGATACGACAAGATTAATGTCTGTTAAGTATTTTAAGAGCTTTTAAAAGCCTACAAATTCAGATAACAAATGGGCTATTGTTTATTTTTTCTCAGAATACTTATTGACAGTTTCATAGGTTTAATTGGTGTACTAAAGTAATTGAGATATAACAATGACATCACACTCTCATTGAATTCTTGCCAACAGTGAAGATACAAATACACATTCTGCTTTATGTTCCCAAATTGCTATTTTAGCTGATATTTTGTCCTGTTACAAACTCATAGCATCTAAAGGGCTTCCTAACTTCTATTTATTATATAGAATAACATTGCACCTTCAAAGAAAAGATAACATTTATGTTGATATCCTTAAACTAGAAGAAAAGAAATTCATACATAAATTTGCACTGCATCATTTTAAGTTTCTACTAAATTGTTAGTTTAGTACCACAGATGTATATTGATTCACTTTATGTCAGGAGCTCTGCTAGATGCTGAAGATAAAGGCCTACCTGAAATAAAGTCCTGACAAACCTACGAACGCTGGGGAACAATAATTCCAAAAAGAAAATGGAAACAAATCAGTATTGGGGATGTTAGACTACCCCACAGCAAAGCTCTATTCTAAAATGATGTAAGGCACGACTGAGACATGCGGACTTCAGGAAATGAACACATAACTCAATTTTCTGCTTCAGGGTTGAAGCCCATCCAAAGAGTGGAGCTCATATAAATGAAATTCTTTTCTCAAATTACTATAGGTATCTCAGCCTGGATGCCTGACGGTCCTCAGGTTGCAAATTTATTCTGAATAAATAGGTATCTAGACATATTTGTAACTTCAAGATGGCTTGACTAATTAATTCAAAACAGTTTTTTAAAAATTATACATAGTGCATGGCTACAAAGACTTCTCAGTTAGGTCAAAAATTCTTCTGCTAACACACTTATGTTCCATCACCAGAGACAATTCCTGGAAGCATTTGATAAAGAAAAGGTAAGGATTGGACAATGAACAAGATTTACATCTTATTTTCAATTTTGTGTGATGGTATTTTTACTCATTATTGAGAAAGATACAAAGCAGCTTCTGACATCTGGGACTGATTTGACATTATATTATTACAGTCTGGTTTGACACTCACAGCCAGGTCATTTTGATCTCTTGCTGGACAAAAACTCACAAAATACCACCTCATGCCCAGCGTGGTGGTACACACCTATAATCCTAGTACTAGGGAGGCTGAGGCAGGAGGATTGTTTTGAGTTCAAGGCCAGCCTTGAACACACAGTGAGATCCTGTCTCAAAAAACCCAAAACAAACAAACAAAATACCACCTCAAATAATATTACTGAGACCATGATAAGTAGACAAAGCCACTTGACAATATTTTCCCTAAGCACACACAAAAATAAAGTCACTATCCCTCAAAATACCTAATCATAGAATCGCCCCTACTTCCTAACAGAGCAGAATGTGGAGCAAGCCCCTACTTCCTAACAGAGCAGAATGTGGAGCAAGCCCCTACTTCCTAACAGAGCAGAATGTGGAGCAAAGCCCGGCTTCCTTAGCTTCTCTTCAGATCAGATCAAGCAAAATCCAGATCTTATCACAGATGATTCCAACTGCCCCTTGCTGAGACACCTCATGGCTCCCTGTGATAATGGCCTACCCCAAAAAGAAATAAACCCAATTTGCCTAACTGCAGATGTGCTCCTTAAGGACTTTAGCATCTCTAAGAGCAACTTTACCAAACTGAGTTGAATTTCTATAATCATGATTGTTATGTGATTAATGAATACAATCATTATCTACCTAGTAAGCCCACAAGGAGCAATGGTTTGGGAGTTTTGAAGTGGTTTATTTCTTTGCCTTTCCACTAAAGCAGTCCTACTGTAGCTGTGGTTGGCAGATAAGTGCCATCTGCTACTGTTAACAAGATTACAGAAATTTTAGGATACATATGTAGCAATTTTATAATAATTTTACATTATAATTATATACATGTTCAGTCTAATAAAAATTAAGATGTGTTTTTAAGGACTGAGCACAGCATTAAATGATTGCCAGTGAGTATTTTTTTCTCCCTTTCTCTGTCTCTCCTCTTTTCTTTACTTTTGTTTTTTGTTTTTGTTTTGTCTTTTGACCACTGCTTCCTGCAGTTCTTTCATCTTCCTCCCCTGTTGTGGACTCCTGGTTGCAGTAGTATAACTTGGACTTTGAGAACCCTACATACAGAAGTGTTGCAGAGAGTTCCGACCAGCGCACCATCTTGAATTTAATTAAAATTTAAGTTCATCAATTCTGACTGACCTTATTCTCTTGTATAAGAGAAATAAGCTTTGGAGTATGAGCTCTGTTTTGGCTGCTCACATTCAGGTCTCTGAGTTTTATCCTGTTTTCAGTTGTTTTGGGGATATTTGACATTGTCCTAAGAGGACCTCTCAATACAAATGTGTTGCCTGGATAATGGGACATGAATCACAGGATAATGCTCCTAATATTAACGAACCTGTGTCTTATTATAATCCAACTCCTAGTATCCATGTACAGTTACAGTACAGCACAAAATGTCCCAAATTTAGACCGTGCCTTTGGAACTCTTATAGGGACACAGAATGAGATTGTTAATCATATTAGAATGTAAACTCTGTGTCTGCTAGTTTTGGAAACTGTGCTTCAGAACAGATGAAACTATGTAATAAGGGATCTACTCCATTTTAGCTGAGTTTAAAGCTCTCTCTCCAAAGATCTATGTTGTTATTACCATGTGACAACTATGCTGAGGGAAGCCAGCTTTGCTATTGAGCAAAGGACAGAGTGAGAAACTCAATCCAGTGTTCTGGCTCTGCAGTCCACAGAGCTAATTAAGTATACCATTTGTCAAAGTCAGTGGAATCCCTGTGTTTTAATGCTTAAAAACAAAATCCTTCCTTGTATGATGGAATATGTGTTCGTTGGTAATTATAAGCAAAAGGCTCAAATTACTTTAGTAACTGTCACTTTTTATATGAATGGTTCATCAGTAATGAGCCAAACACCTAGGCCTAGAAAGATAAATAGATGCAGAGAAAAATGTCTTTTTCTTATAAACAGTAGCTAGTGTTAAAAAATGTCCAATGGAAACACGGAAGGCCTGTGAGGTCACACATAAATAATGTTATTTAGAAAGAGAATCTTTCTTAAATTACTTTAGTGTTTCAACTTACAGTATGTTAAAAAGCATATGCTTTTAAAAAATGAATTTCTACTTATAAGCTATAATATAATAAATATAGATATAAAAATAAAATAATGAAAGTTAAAGTTTCAAAGTGCTCACTGCCTTTCTTGTGGAAGACTTGTGAGGAACGAAAAATAAAGACATTACTTCAGAGACTAGAAAAGAGCCTGTCTTTTGTAACACATCAGTCTGTAAAGAACATGCAGAGTTATATGGCTCAAGTGCTGTGTTTGCATAACTGTAGTTTATCACAAACATTTAATTATATAAAGAAATTATATAATTAAGAGAGTTTTATCTAAGGTTAGCACTTATTTCAGTTTTATTGTTGTAAATGCTTTTCTATAATTTATTGGTAGTGCTTTTGCAAATGCTTGAATTTATCACTAGATTTTCATACTTTTAAAATATAATAAATGTCATCTTTTGAACTCCATATATGAATGTTTCATGAATGGGATGTAGGAACAGTTTTTAACATTAATCTTGTATTTAGTCACCACTAAATAAAATGATTACTTCATTAGAAAAAAAGAAATTAAGAGATTTTTTTCATGTACTAATACTTTTTAATTTCTTAATGTGAGCTATATTTTAAAGTTTTTAGTTGATTTTAATAGCACATTAAATGTTATTACAGATAAATTGTGGGAGCATAAAATACTACACTTCTTTCTGCACTTTACATATTTTCCCTGTAGTACAAATAACATACTTTAAATATTAATTTATAAGTCAGTATAAATTATGTTGCACTTTTATTAAATAATTGGTATGGAACCTATAAGGAGGAGGTATCATGGCATTAGTCCCTTTACAGGAGTAATAGTGGTGACACCTCATCCAGAAAATGTGCATATGCTTGCATAAAATTAGTGGATGTTGCCCACTCTCACCCCCTAGTCCCCACCAGCTAAACTCACCTTCAACAACACCTGCCGAATTGACAACCATAATTATCACAGTAACAGGATATAGCCACCATATCAGATTACCTACCATATCAGAATCTTTGTCCTCAAATCCTTCCTTATTTTCCCCAGTGCTAAAACCTGATTCAGAAAGGAGTTCTCTTTCGCATATAATTTCTAACGTTTTCAGGATGAACTGGATATTTGAAAAGATGTTTGGATACTTGCGATATGACTCTCCAGAGGAAAAAAGTGCTATTGTAAGAAAAACATTGTGGGAAATGTTTGATTAATATCTTCCATTGTGTTTCATATGTCTTCTAGTTATTAAACTAAAATAAAATTCAGTATTTAGGTGCTGAGACTGTTTTACAGTTCACAATCTAGTGAAGATTCATAATGTTATGTTTGCCCCCTGGTGGTGCAAAAAAAAAAAAACCTACAAAGTAAATAATTCAGGCATAAGTATGTAATTTAGAACAGGATTGCATAATAGTTGAATGCCCAATTAAATACTGTTACTGCTCAACAATGCTTGATAGATTCTAGCTAAAAATAAATCAAGTTATAATAGATACTCTATTCATAATGAATACTTTGAAATTGAAATTCTATAAACAAATCAATGTCAGCTTTTAACCCAACATTCACGTATTCTTTCTTTTCAAATTATTATTGATTTTAAAGCACATACTTATAGGCAACAATTATGTAACAACATAAAATATTATGATATTTAACACAACCTTTTGAATTCTTTTTATAGACTCTTAGACAATTTTTGAGTTTCATTCCATTCACACAGTGGAAAAATCAGTGATGACCATTCTTCTATTGGACTGCTATGCAGATAGGTAGAAGCTGCTGATGGTGTTGAGTAGAAAAAAAATTGCTGCTAAAGATAGAGACGTACCCTAAAGCTCTATGTAAGAGAATTTGATAAAGGAGCAATGAAGAGTGTTTACACTTTTTTTAAAAGGAAAGGTATTGGTTTCTTTGTGACATATCTGCAATAACAAACTAAGGTACTGGTGCAGAAAATTCTGCTTGTGCATAGCCTGTTGCATTTGCCTCCTGAATCCACTTTCTCCTTACCCCAGCCCAGCATCAATATTGCCATTCGGAATACCTTACTAAGATATGAATTTGACTGTTTGAAATGCATTGTTGGTAGGTATTACTAGAAATAGGGAAACTGAGTCAAAAACACTGTCACACGTTTAGGTAGGAGGTGAAAAGCAGAGCACAGTAACTGGTTACCAGAGGCTGGAGGAGTGAAGAGGGAAAGGGGAAATAATACTTGCGAGTAAAACGTTTCAGTTAGGCAGAAGGAGTAAGTCTGAGGAATCTACTGCACAGCATGGTTACTATGTTAGCAAAAAGATATGCTTCAACATTGTGAAGAGAGTAGATTTTAAATGGTCTCATCACAAAGTAATAACAGGTATATAGGAGCAAAAACCAAAAGCAGTCTGGATCAGAAACTAACACTACACACCTATTATCTTTCATGAAAAATAAAATGCATCTTATGGTCTTGACAGACCGAACTTTTTAAAATGTAACATAAAACATTTATAAATTGAAAAAAAATAAAAGATACTCTACCATATGAATACGGTTGAAGCCTAAGTAAATGTCCTTTAAAATTTGCTAGTTGACCATGGAGGAAAAATATAAAAAGTCGTAAGAAGATCAAATATCCAATCTGTCAAGAAAGAAAAGGTAAAAGTACTTTTGTGTTGCATCAATGAATGTCTAAAAATCATGTAGGAAATAAATCATTTTATTATCACATTTACTTTTAAGAAAAAAATTTCAAATTCACTTGATATCATGTGGTTTTGAAACAATTTTAAAACATTTATATGAAGACTGAAATGCTAGTCAGCAAAAGTAATTCATAAATCATTTATACCTTATGTTTCACCAGTGTTGAATGTTATTTTGTTCTGTATACTTTAGAACATTATTTTCAAGTTGCAGGTAATGCTCCACAAGTGATTCATGGTACTAATGAAGAGGCAATGTTTAAATAAAATTAAAGTGAAGAGAAAACATCATGATATATCTCATAATTCCTTTTCTTCAGTATATAAGTCAATATGTATTATATGTGTGCTGGATTATAATGAGAAAAGGAAACATGAGTCTCAAAAGGTGTGAAAAAAATTATTTTAGATAGCACTGAGGAATATTACACTGTATTAAGCTCTCCACTCCACTGTGAAGAAAGTCATTTTTAGAAAACACTGTAAAATCTTGTGTGATGTTTAAACCAGCTAAAAATAGCTTGGTTTACATAGACTACATAAAATGGAATATCTGCAAAAACATAATACACAAGATTTCACATAAAATTATAATAAAACATGTAAACTATACAAATAAACAGAATACAAATTGTGTAATTTGCTAAATCATGGAGAAGAACCAAACACTAGCAGTAATTGTCACTATCTAGTGTGTGTTATGTATGTGTGCATGGGAAAAAGAAATATCAAATCCTCTTAACTGTACTGTAGTAGCACAGAACATTATCAGATGTGCATGTTAAAATAAAATATAATAAAATAGATTAACCTAACCAAATCTCAAGTACTATTAAGGAAATAAGTGGCATTCCAGGACCTTGAACCTAAGGCTATGTATATTGTTCCAGATGGCATAAATTTTTAATTATAATTTAATTTTTAATTATAGCTGTATTTTCAAATATTTCATTAAAAACCTCTATCACTAAAATAAATTTGAGGATGAATCATCAGTATTCATAAATGTTTATATAAATTGTAAACATCCACCATTTGTAGACTTAGACAATAAATAAAAATAACATGTTTGTAAGGCATGTCCAGTGTGTGTGTGTGGGGGGGTCTTTTCATATAACCATTTCATGACATCACTATGCTGTTCTAAGTGATTGAAGCTAAATGAGAAAGAAGTGAAGAGCTAAAAACTACATAAAACAATATTATAATATTCTAAATGAGAGTATTGCAGACAGCAACAACCATCATTTTAGACAGTGAATAAAAAACTAGTTAGAAGGAGGATAATTTGAAACTTTTGAAGGAATAAGAGATAGACATTGAGAGGAAAATTGATGTTCAAAATGTAATATGGCATAAAAGAGAAAATGCTGTATTATTCCCCAATTGAGTCTTGAATTTCACCTGATTCACAGGTGAATTATTACTAGAGATATATAGTAATAATATGCTTAGATGATAAATGTAAACATATTGTATACCTAATATGTACCAATGAAAGAATTTAAGCAGGGGCCGGGGATTTAGCTCAGTGGTTCTGGCGCCTGCCTCGCAAGCACAAGGTCCCAAGTTCGATCCCCAGTACCAAAACCCCCCCCCAAAACAACAACAACAACAACAACAACAACAAAAAAGAATTTAAGCAAAAAAAAACAAATTCAGTAATTTAATATCAAGTCCAATACACTTAAAGAACTTCTCATTCTGAAAAGCACATAGTTAAGTGCTGCTTGCTTGTGGCTGCTATAAGAAAATGTACAAGTCACCTAACCTGATGATGAGAAAGGGACCTGGGGTCTGGGGAAGACAGGAGCAAGGGGACAAGAAAAGGAAGTTTAAAAAAGATCAAGATACAATATTTACCAATCCCCTATGACAAATATATTCATTATGTATCACAAACATTTGCTAATAAAAAGTTTAAAATGGCATGACATGTATAATACATGATCAATATATGAAATGGATAAAATTATATTTCATAGTGATTTTTTTTGAGCAGAAATACAAAAGTTAAGAAATGGAGGGAGTTCACTAAATGAAATGAGAAGGAAAAGACAGATGAACCAGACTTACTTACATTTTTCCATTTTGTTCTTTTTCAATTTTAAATACTCATTTATGTTTTATATATTTCATATTTGTACTTATATTTTAACTTTACATATCTCCATGTTTTCCATTATAAACATAAATATACTTGTCAATATGGACAGTTTCCAAAAAGAACAAATAAACTTTGTAGTCTCATAATTCCTATTGGTAACATTTTAACTGTTTTCCTCCTATCCTCCCATTAAAAGCCCCAGTCTTTTGCTTAATCAGTTGCTATTACATACTCCGTATCTGTTCTTGCCTGTTTACCATAAATCTTTTATTCCCAAATATATTAGAGAGTATCTAGGTTAGGTTTATGAGGACAGAAATATGGTCATCTCCCCAAAGTATCCTACTGAAAGGCCGATTCATGAATATTCTCCATGCTTTGTCTCTAAGAGTTTATATTCAAAACTGAACAAGAAAAAACATAATTTTGCACCATCAATATACTTGTTTCATATATATGCTATATATTAAAGAAATATTTCTTGTCTTTCTTTACTCTCTAAGCTAAATTTAATTGACTAATAAAGTTTCCAACTATCAATAATGAGCATTATAAAGTAAAACCACATGACTTCAAGAACCTTATAAAACATGACCTAAGTGAATAAAGTTTGATAAAGCTCTAAAATGACATAGAAGACTGAAAGAATTACTCATCTTCATAAATTGAGAAGCTATTTAAGGTTATCTGCCAGCAATTTTAAATTACAAATTAAGTAGTGTTAAAATTTCTTAAAATTAAAAATATAAAATCTATATATACTCCAAAAATCAATAAATACATTGATTCTTTTTAAATATTTCCTTACACAGTTTGTGAAATTATATTTTCTCAGATTGCGTCCACTTGAATATCAGGCAATAATGTACTATTCACAACATAAGGTCAGATTACCAAACCTGAGAGTATTCCATAATAAAAGGAACTGTCTTGTCTTAGTCCTAAAACAAATGTCATATAATAGAGATTAACTATTTGAAACATATAAAAATGTTCAAAACATACCTTTGTCAGCTTTATCTCAACAGAATATAAAAAGTCCTTCAGGAATGCATCACAACAGAGTCTATATAAAACTGATTCTGCAACAAAAAATAAGGCAGGCAGATGATCATAATCAAAGGAAGCATAGTCCAGGGAAGCATAAAGCATATTTAAAGCTTCTGAAATATTAAAAAGTAGAAACTCTATCATTTAAAAATTATTCAGTTTTTGTACATGCTGTCATTAATTCTTGCAATTAACTATTTGCTCATCAGATACGATTTTAAAACATATCTACAAATTCTTTACCACCCTTCCCATCAAGAGATAAATTCTACCCCGCCTTCCCCTTAAACTCAAATGACAGCTTCCTTCAAATGACAGAATGTAGCAGAAGTGACCTGCATGACTTCCAAGGCCAGATCAGCAGAGGCAATACAGCTGCCTCCAATCAGTCCCCCAAACCCCCAGCTCTGGAACCCTCCGCTGCCATGCAGGAAATCCAACAGGAAGCTTGGCTCAGAATCACCATGCCAGAAGTTGGAGCTCATTTTGCATGAAATAAGACATCACTGGAAATTACTTAAGCTGTCAAATGGCCACTGCTAAGTGGACAGTGGACTACAGAACAGAAGACAAGAATACAGGTGGAAATACTATTAGTAGACGATTTTTATTGTTCTGGGGATGGTGAGAAGAAACCATGTTTAGGAAATCTTGTGGAGGTCAATGTCCAAATAAGTAAAAATGCTTTTTGTGTAACATTCAACTCAACAGAAAATATCTTTGAAATAAAGGTGTTTGTTATTTTACAAGATCAGAACTGGAAAGGGTCGGGGGATGGTTAATAAAACTGCCCACTGTGTGCACATTTCTCCACCTGCTGGTTCCCCTGGTGTACATGAGGACACCATGTGATGGTGACCCAAGCTCCCAGCTGCATGATCTTACTGAGCAAACTAGAGAGGAATAAAGGGGGTACAGGGAGGGAAGAGATGCTTTCTTCCCCAAAGCAAGTTAACAAGAGTATTCCGAACAGGATGTTTTTACATCCCTCTGGACAGGATCAGTCATGTGACTACTCCCAATCTATTCACTGGTGAGTTAAATGGGATTTACTCTAATTAATTCAGGCCAAGTGTGCCTCACCCCTGGGGCTGGACAAAGGCCACTCTTTCTGAATCACATGACTGCCAGAGAGGCCTGAACAGAAAAATGAACCATGCACTTGGCTACTGGTTGGTAACAAACCAAAGGTTTTTACCTCAGTGTCACTTAAACCTTTAAGAGAGGTCAGGCTGTGGACAGCACTGGGCTAAAGGGGTATAAAGGCAAGTTAAATGCATAACAGTTCTTATTGCTTGAAGCTCCTAGAGAGCACAACAATTGCAATTTACATGGGGCAATACTCCCTGACCTTATGTGGTTAATATTCTGAAACTCATTTTAAAAGGCATATGCAAAACATTTAGGATAATGAGAGAAGGAATTTTACCCCCTTAAAAATAATTTATTGATTTTCTCTTTTAGATTGGTTAGAGGGTGCTTGAAAGGAGACATATAAATAAGAAGGGATAAATGAAAAGGTAATGAGGAAAGTTAGCTGTATAAAATAAGTAAAAAAAAAAGGTCATTTGATTAATGTTTTATGAGTAAGAATTATAAAATGCAGAAACAAACTTCTCTAATGTATACTGCTTATTGTAATTGGAAACCACTAAAGGACAATTTACATTACTTTTTAATTAGTTGCTAATTTTAGAAAAAAGTAATAAAGATTATAATGAGAAAAAGTTTTTTAAAAACAATTTTGTAATTAAAAAGTTGAACAGTTAAATTCATAAATTCAAAATTACCAAAGAAACTTTTATAATGAGATATTATAAGATATTGATAGAAAAGAACAAATTCTTCTTGTGTCCTGCAAAATTTCTAGAAATTAAAGATCTCAAATTATGTCTTAACTGCTAATCTAGAAAACACTTTGAATTCCTAAGAAGAGCTGAGTTATAGCACATACCATCTTGGATTTCTCCTTTGCATTGCGCCAGATATATTACTTCAGTCCATGCAAAAGGAAGATGCACATGCTTCCCACAACCCAAGGAACTGAGACCCAATTTTCTCTGTCATGGGGAAACATGAAAAAGGCAAACCAAAATGTACATCTTTTATTTGTTAATTTTTATCATCTCTTAATTATATTTTGGGAGTCATTCTGTGAAGTTGATGCTTTGTGATCAGAATTATACACAATTTTATATTATTGTTTTTATTATTTGTATTTTGGACATATTTTTCAAACTGTATTGGTACTGCATATAGAGAATGTTAATATTCTGAGTAATATCATCATTTATTTGATAAAATAATTCTTACTATGCCTTCCAGTGGTCACTTCCACCTTATTTTCCCAAGAGATACATCTCTGATTGTATAAAAAATTTACTGAAGAACTAAGGATGTTACCAATTTGCTGTACAACTCTGACTACCAATGTTGATAGATCAATGCTAATGAAAAGGAGAGAGATCTCCCTCCTTTGTCTCATTTCCTTTGTTGCAGTACCCAATCCTGAGGCTGCCCAAGGAGTACTTAGCCAATTGGAAAGAAGCTTACTAATGAAAGAAGCTTACCGGTGCCTCCTGGCACCTCTCTGCATGCATACTACTTTTTCATCAAATGTTTTAAGTGGATTATTTCAAAAGCTTAAATATATGAACAACCCTTAACTAAAAAATAACAACCACTATTACAAAACAAACAAAAAAGCACCTTACATTGTACTTCAGTTTTGTGCAGCTTTTATTTTATGAATTATGCTTTCTCCCAAATTATTAATGAAGAGCAAAATAAAAGATAGATACTAGGAAGTAGGGAAATATTTTTCAATTGGGGAGAGGAATGAGATGGAAGGATGGGAGGGAGGGGAAGGAAAAGGGATAAAAATAAGAATCTAAAAATGGAGACAGGGGCTGGGGATTTAGCTCAGTGGCACTGCATCTTCCTTGAAAACACAAGGTCCTGAGTTTGATCCCTGGTACAAAAAAATAAATGGAGACAAATAGGGCCGGGGCTTTAGCCCAGTGGTACCGCACCTGCTGCACATGTGCAAGGTCTTGAGTTTGAAACTCAGTAGCAGAAAAAAAAAAAAAAGGAGACAAAGCTTATAAATCAAACTTGGAGTCAAATGTAATAAAGGCAAGGTAAAGCTTTATTTCACTTCCTTTTCTGTTTTAATATGTTTGAAAATTTGAGAATTAGCATCTTACCTTAAAGAATGTACTTTTCACATTAGGCAAAGAAAAAAAAAGAATTCAGTACCTTGTATTTGTATAGTGAAGGTTTACAACAACTGTCTTTACTCTTTGTGCCACATTATACCTCAGCTAAATTTTTTAAAGAAATGGTAGAACTTTCATTACCAAAGTTCTGTCAGCCTTTGGTATGTGACTATGAACTCCTAGACTGGTGTCAATGATCATATTCTCTAGTAATTTACAGGAGTAGGAGCTATCACACAGAAAGCCACTGAAAATTTAATTTCTTAGTTATAATCTTTAACTTTAATTTAAATTAATATTTTCCCTTTGCTTACTTATAATTTCTTTAAAGAAAGGTGTATGTATGTTCTTATTCTTTCTTTCAATATTTTAGAACATGTAATCATTCACCAATTATAAAACAAAGTTCACATACTAAGTAATCAAGTAATGTACCATACCTTACATCTGAGAATGTTTTTTCTCGCTTGTTCCAATAGTTCTTTCTTCTCTACTGGATTCTGTGTTTGATTGAATTTCAAGATGAACTTTTCTCTAATTAATAATAATGACCTAAATTAAAAAGCACTAATAAAAATATTTATCATTTCAAATTTTAATTAATCAACTTATAGTGGCTAAGTATAACAATTTTCTAGAAAAGGTACTTTGCGGCAGAAGACCACCCTGTTGATTATGCCCAAAACAGGCTGTAAGCAGTGCAGGCTGTAAAGAGTTAATCCTACAATTGGCTTGTTTTAAGAAGTGAGTCTGGCCGAAGCCTACATGACTCATGAGACCACTTTGGATGGTGCTCTAGTTAGCATTCCCCACTTCACCCAACCCCCAGCCACAGGAGAGACCAGAGAAATGGTCCGTGAAGCTGTGGGGCTACGCTATGAGATAACACAATAGCTGAGGTCAGACTGACTCTTACCCAAATTCTGTTCCCAGTATTGAAACTTTGTTAACTGAAAAGACAAGTTAATCTTGAACCACAACTTATATTTGGTCTGTTTTGTTCCTAATGCAAGAATCCTTTGTCCCTTCATTTACAAACTTTGCCTGTGTCTGCAACGCATCTCTAGCAACAAGTAGTGCCCTCACCCTAACTTAATGAATGATTGTGTAACCGATAAATATCAACAATTCTGGCTGTTTCAGGGTCTTTACTTGCTCAGCTCTGACCATCCCAGTTCCCCATTTCACTTTGATTCTGCCTGAGTCTTCCTTCTTACCTTACATCTTAGTACCCAGCAAGAGATCGAGGTCCTCTGCATAGATCCCAATACTTTGCTTTTTCAATAAGAATGTTTCACACGCAAAAAAAAATCAGTTAAATGAAAAATATATGTGTAAGTTTCATAGATTGATTTTGTAACACTCAGGTTAAGAATCAAATTCCCATTGTCAAATGTTTTTGTGACCACGGAGAAAACATTTTTATGATGGTTGCTAGAGTCTTTTTAGTATACACTTTCTTTATAAATAAAAGTGAAATTAATACAACTGTGGGTGAAATGAACTAAGCAAGGGAGAAAAGAAGCATGAAGTAAGATCAGCTAGGTAAAAAGTAGCCATATTATTTTTGCATGAGAAGGGAAACTACTGCAGGGTTTTGACAAAAAGGATTCCATGATTTAACTTGAGGCTTACCAATACTATAATACTATATTGAGAACTGGAATAAGGGGAAATGGGATTTAACAAGAGGAGGTAGCCATAAATTTGGTTAGGTAGGAAGTAATACTGGGTTTGGACAGAATAATAGCAAAGTAAGTAAGGGGAACAGTTTGAGTACTGGATACATTTTTATATTAGTAAACTAGACTGGCTAATGAATTAGAAATTCACCATGAGAGAAAGGAGTGTTTGATAGGATGGAATTGCTATTTACTGAGATAAGGAAAACTGCTAGAGAAGCAGATCTGGCATAAGCGTAGCAAATAAGTTCCAGTATTAGACATGTTATGTTTGAGATAACTATAGTCATACAAGTAGAGAGGAAAGAATAGGCAACTGGATATCAGGGAAAAGATTCAGATTAGATGTATCAGTGATGGAGTCATCATCACATATTTGATATTTAAAGCCAAATGAATAAAAAAAGGCCCATGGAAAAATGTAGGAAGAGTAAACAGTATTTTAAAAAGAAGTGGTAAATTAAGTTTGAAGGTGTGTAAAAGAGAATAAGTACCATGATCATAATGATGTATCGCAGAATTTAAGATGAGAATGGAAGAAAATGTAACATTAAAAGAATAGTGAAAATAACAGAATCATATCAGCAAACAGTATTTTTGTGAAGCCCCAAAATTATTGAAGTTAATATTAGGAGAAAACTAGAAAATAAAACACATTTATTTATTTAGCTTACTGTGTTCAAATTTACTAAATTAATTATCTGTGGGATATGAAAAAAAATAAAATATCATGTTTTGCTTTCAAATGACAGTCCTACTGGGAGTCAAATGTAGCCCCAAAATGACAGTGCTATATGATCATAGGTTGAGCAGAAGTATTTATGAAATGTTCTGTAAACTGGAACCAAATAACAAAAATAATCAATTCTTTAACTGCCTTGGAGAAAATGATATATATCCAGCAATGCATTTGGTAAGCATTTATTGGCAGTCTCTTATGTAGAGTAGTAATAAATCAAAAAGGAATATAAAAACCATGGAAAAATCAACAAACTCAAACTAACTAAAAAATTTCAAATAAAATCAGAAATGAAAGAGGAAACACTATAAAGGATGTCTCTAAAATATAAAAGCTAAGAGAATATTATGAAAAATTATATACCAGCAAATTAAATACTGTGGAAAAATAGGTAAATTCCTAGAAATATTACATGCACCAAAACAGAGTCAATAAGTATGAAGGGGGCCAGGGATGTAGCTCAGCAGTATAGTGCCTGTCTGGCAAGGGCAAGGCCCTGAGTTCAATTCCTGGTACCCCCCCAAAATAATTTGAAAGGCTGTGCTGAATAAAAATCAAAGCAATTAGATCAGTAATCAAAAACCTTCCAGAAGAAAAGCTCAGCTTATGGGTGAATTCAACCAAGCATTCAAAGATGAATTAATATTGACCCTCTTAAACTCTAAAAAACATAAAAAGGATCACTTCCAAACTTTTTATACAAGGCTAGCATCAAATCACACCATTACTAAATGGAGTTCGTCTACGAGAAGCAATAATGTATAAATATATAAAAATCAACCATTGCATTATTAAAAAGAAATAAGGGTGTATAATAGAAAGAAAAAAGACACAGAAACAGCATTTGGCAAAGCTAAACCTGCATTCCTGATTATAACTCTTTCAACAAAATAGGAATAGAAGGGATTTACCTCAATGCAATGAAGATAATATATTAAAAGCCCACTGCTAATATCATAATCAGTGAAAGAAAACTTAAATCTTTTCCTCTATGACTTAGTGCAGGGCAAGAATGCCCATTCCCAATACTTCTTTTCAATATAGTACTGGAAACTATAGCCAGAGCAATTAGGCATGAAAAAAATAGGCATCCAAATAGGAAATGAAGAAGTAAAATTATCTATTTGCAAATGATATGATAAAATACAGAGAAACCTTTAGAGATCCACCAAAAAATTAGGACTAATAAATTCAGTAAAGATACAGGATAAAAAATGAGCATAAAACATCAGTAGTATTTCTACGCAAAAAACTGTTAGAATAAATTCAATAAACATACAGGATGAAAAATAAGCATACAAATAGCAGTAGATTTCTATACACAACAAACTACCCAAAAAGTAAATCAAGAAAATCAGAGCATTCACAATAGCAACCAAAAGAACAAAATAAGCTTCAATAAAGTGAAAAGTCTTGTACATTAAAAATTATAAAACACTAATACAAGAAGTTATTGGCGACAAAGATAAATAAGTATCCTGTATCCAAAAATCAATGTTGTTAAAATATCTACATACTTAAAGTCTTCTACAGTCCATGCAATTGCTATAAAATGACAATAGCATTCTTCGCAGAAATAGAACAATCCTAAAATTAATAGACCTTTAGTAGCCAAAGTGATCTTGATAATGAAAAACAAAGCCACATGTATCAACTTCCTCACTTCAAATATATTACAAAGCTATATAGATCAAGATAACATGATATTGACATAAAAACCAATTAGGACAAAACAGAAAATCCAGAAATGAATCCATGCATTTATAGCAAACTGATTATATGATATGGAAAGAAACAACATAGCAAGGGAAAAACAAAATCTTAAATTGGTAAACCAGATATTCACATGTATAAAAGGCAATAATAATAATGATGATGATAATAATAATAACAATAATGATAAGAGAACCTGCAGATTAGGAGAAAGTTTTTGCAAACTATACATCTGGCAAAAAGTTAATATCCAAAATATATAAGGGAGTGAAGAACTTAATAACAAAAATCAATTAAAAATGGGCAAAGAATCTGATACATGTTTCTCAAAAGAAGACATACAAATGTTCAACAGTATATGAAAAGATCTTAGGCATTAGTAATCATCAGGTAAATGTAAATAAAAGATAAATATTATTCCATACTTGTAAGAAAGGCTATTATCAAAAGACAAAATATACTAAGTATTATCAATGAGAAAAGAGAACACTTGTACATTATTGGTAGGAATCTAAATTGGTACAACCATTATAAAAAAGGTAAGGAGATTCAAGAAAAAGAAAACTAAAGAGTGTTACCATATGATCCAATCCTAATTCTCAGTATATTTCTAGAAAAATTAGCATTAAGAAGACATACCTGAATTATCATGATTGTTGGTGCATTATTCACAATAGCCAGGATATGCTAGCAATCTAATTACCTATCAGTATATACCTCAGTCTTTAAAAAAAAAAAAAAAAAAAAAGGAAATTCTGACATTTGCAACAACTTGAATGAACCTGGAGGTCATAATGCTAAGTGAACTAAGTCAGATACAGAAAAACAAATACTGCATGCACTCACTTTTATGTGAAATCTAAATGAGTCAAACTCATAAAAATAGAGTGGAATGCGGGTCACCAGGGTCTAGGGGTTGGGAGAAGGAGATACTGGTCAAAGGGGACAAAGCTTCAGTTATGCAAGATAAATAAGTTCTGGAGATATAGTATGACATATAAATATAGTAAATATAGTTTACAATACTGTATTGTATAGCTGAATTTTGCTAATAAGGTAGATCTTAAAAGTTTTCATAACAATTTTCAAAAGAGGTAACTATGTCAGGTGATGGACATTGTCTTAGTTACTTTTCTCACTGCTGAGACAAAACATTTGACAACAAAAGTTAAAGAAGGAAGGGTTTATTTTGGCTTACAATTTGTAAAGGTTTCAGTCCATAGTCAGCTGGCTCCAAGGCAGGGTGGTGTGGCAGAGGGGCATTGCAGAGGAGAAAGTCCATGGCAAGGCAGAGCAGGCAGAAAGCAGCAAGCAAGCAAAGTAGTCAACCAGCAAGTAATAAAATACAAGCAACTAGCTGCAAGCCTCTTCATGTCTCTTATATTGTATCCAGGCTATCTGCCCTTAGGGAGGATAGC